GTTTTAAAATAAAGCACAGCAATGATATTTGAGAGTGTTTCTCCCTTTTCAGGAAAAGTATCGAAAAAGTATCGAAATCGCAATTCTTGACTTGGTATCGGTATCGAAACAATAATTTTGGTATCGTGACAACACTAGATGTACCTATAGACTTGAATGTATACATCATAGACTGTATGAAGATAATGGTATTGGTTTGCTTCTCATGCAATGCTTCCCTAATGAACAAAAGGAGCTGAAACCCAGCAGGAGGGAGGCTTAAGACACTGTCTTAAACAGTGGTGGTCTCACTGTTGAATACAGATGCTGGTACTGTGTGTTGATTTCCATGATATGGTCACACTGAAATAAAAGCTGGAGCTGTATTTATGCATGAAGAGGAGGCAGAGATTATGAACTCAAATGGCAAACAAATAAGAGTTATCATGGTGATTTCATTTTCTTTTGACAGAATTGTTTTTTTCTTAAACTTATAATGCCTAAGATTGTCATGATATCAAACCCCCATTTTTATCATATTTATGGTTCCTTTTTTGCAAAAGCTATTGAATGTATTTACTCTCAATATAATAGCTTCCACTGCTACTGGTGGGGTCCACCAATCCCACACAGGATATATCAAGATATACATCAGCCTCTGTTAACTGTTCACTTTCCTAATGCTGTATCCGAGCTGTATTAAGTTACTACTAATGCAAACTTTTTCCACTGCTGCTGCTTCACACTGAAAGTGTGAAAGTGACTTCGTCATGTCATTTTTTCACAGCGGATCCATTTTAAATATGGCAAGGAGAGACAGAACAATGTGGAGCAACCCTCCAACTTCTCAGCAAGGTTACCAACTCCTTTTACTGTGCCCTGCTATTACATGGAAAACGTGGTTGCTCATAGCATTATCGAATGAGGCAGATTATTGATCGACTCCTTTATTAGAACATGACTTTGTGTGGGTGCGCTGTAAACAGATACAACAGTAGCCATAATACTGATTAAGTAGCTGCTCAAGGAGCGTTTGGTAACCATGGGTGTCGCCAACAAACTACAACTGTCAATCTCCTGAACCAGGACACAAATGGGAAATCCTCATGAAATGGCCGGTAAGCTGATACAGTATTATATGAACCAGTCTACTATGTGAATGGACATCTCAGCCTGATGGGTAAATGAACTGACATACATCAGTATTTGTTGTTCCAAACATGAGAGATCGGTTTCGTAAAGCTCACAATTTCATTTTTAGTTGGGTACTTTACAGTCATTTCAGGTACGACACGGCCACAGTGCCTTGATAAAACTGCTACCACTCACTGCAGCTGTTCACTGCGACTCCCATGGGCTAAGGCAACAGAAAGTGACCTTCCTTGTATTTATTTCTGAGTAAATCCAACTTTGTGTTCCCACTGGCAAAAACAGTAATTCCTCCTTAATAATTAACTGCCCAGACCGGAGCGGTTGTTGAGGAGAGAAGACTATAAACCCCAACAAATCCATTACAATAAAACATGCTGAAAACCCAGTATACTACAAGTAACGTGGCAATTGCTTTTATATGAAAATAAAATCCATGTTTAATTTGGATCTGTTTTCCCAATCATGTTATATTACATTCAGGTACTTCCTTTGGCAGGTTGAACTGGAGGGCAGAAGACTAAATGATGCAAGAAACTGCGAGTCATAGCACTAAACACTTTAGCTCAACTAGAGATCTATATTGCCGAAATACATTGTTCCGTTTCACTGAATATAACAAGGGTAAAACACCAAAGACAGACATGAACCAGGGGCAAATATACTCACCTAAATACAACCATTGCTGTTTTGCATGGCGGGCAGGCCAGCAGGAAGATCTGTAGAAGAAAGCACAGAACGATGAGAAATCACATAATCGCATTAAACTCGCAGTCATTACGGAACAGCTTGAACGCTTCAAGAGCTTCCAGCGCTCGGTGCTGTAAGTAAAGAAAATGAACAAATTGCTTTAACAAGTTCTTATTAATATAATAAGAGCAGGAGCCGTGAACAGAGCATCCCACGGGCAACTGTAAAGTGCTTGCTTCAAATAAGAAAACAAACTGCAGAGGTAAGATGGAGCCCATGAGGATGGTCAAACAATTAGGGTAGACTTTGAAAGCATTTAAATGGCTGCCAGGTACTGTCCACTGAAACAATCTACAACTCATTGTTCATGGAACGGGGGGGAAGAAAAATAATCAATTCTGATCGATTCTGTCAGAGAACAGCAGGAACCTGTATCAGCTCTGGACTCAACACCCGCCAGGCCACAAGTGCGGGGACATTTTCGGCTTCAAAAAAATCAATTGGGGTCACCATCCCAAATAATTTGGAATCACAGCATAGGGCCAGGTTTGGCTACTTCATCTGAGACTATTGTGACCCTCACTGTCCACCGTACCCATCGCTACATCAGCGGCTCGAATCAAAGAGCAGAATGTGTTAACAAAGCAACATCTGCGTTATGTTATTAGAGATGTGGCGACACATTCCCGGTGCACCCGTCGCGATGTCAGCGACTCCATTCAAAGCAGCATGTGCGTTACGTTACTGGAGATGTGGCGACACATTCCTGTTGTTAAGCAACCAACAAACAGAACAAAACATGAAGACCTGGCTAAACTATGAAGCTCGAGGGTTCAGAAAGGCTCAAAACTTGAAGCACTTTTGTCAAGCTTTCTGAGCTTTATGATAATGACTGTGTGACAAATGATTTACCAAAAGACTGCATACATTCACAGCTCAAAGCGAAGGCTGCTGGTATATTGTTGAATACATGTGACAACAAAGGTGAAGACAGTTTAAAATGTGTCAATAGTAGTTAGATCCTAGAGGGGATGAGCCTCCCCAGTATTTTGTGTCTGGTGCTAAAAGTCTTAAGTTCCAGTGTTGAACCCAGGATGAACACCCGAAGGCGTAAAAAGGCAGCACACACAGATTTCCAGGGAAAGTTGACTAATCTCAATTATACCAATTTATTTTGGCCATGTCAGAAAAACATGCCAACGTTACAGCCTCATGGCCTTCATCAGAGCATTCTTGTCAATGTTGGCTTTATAACTAAATGTGAATATAGGCTACAATGTGCACTGTAATCCCAGTTATACATCTCAGCTATTCTCAGTGACTGTGCTATTAGGACCTGGAGGATACTGCAATTATAGATTGGTCCAATACACCATCTGACACAAGAAAAGAGTTGGTTTGCCTGAAGGGCAAAGGCTGAAAAACAGCATTACAAGAAAGCAATTTACTTGGGATCTGTTGTACAACTACACACTGGCCAGGGGACATGTCTTCGGGATTGATCTGCTGTGCACCTATCAACTCATAGTAACCTGCACTGTGAACACAATTGCTATACAAAGTTTATTTCGTTTTGCTCCATTTGTAACAAACAAAGGCACAGGGCAGGATTAATTAAATGTACAATCCTGAACTTCTGATAGATTAATACATTTTCCAGAAAATACAACTTAAATCTTTCTCAGACATTGTTTTCATTAGGTGTGCTTCCTTTGTCCTAGCAGGAGCTAATGGGCTAAATCTGGTAGCAGATGTTGAGCTTTGGTAAAGAGGCAGGGGGCATGTGGTTTGAAATGTGACTTTTACATAAAAGAAAGAGAAAAATGCCAGTAAGGAATAAAAAAAGACTTTTGTAAAAAGGGAATTTTGAAATAGAAAACAAAAAACATTTAATAATAATAATAATGAGCTAATTTCTAATCTATCTATCTGTCTGTCTGTCTGTCTGTCTGTCTGTCTTAACTATAACATTTTTTATTTATCTAATATTGAGCACTTTGGGGCTCCATACAAAATAAGTGGATACTATTGCCTGTGTTTTCAATTTGAACATTACCTGATATGCTGCTAAAAGGAAATTTAGGTCATGTGTAAAACATATTCTAGTAATGGAAACCGTTGCATGTGAATGCATTTCTTTCTTGGAAATGGTTACATGCTTTCCTGTTTATGGCCACAATGCAAGTCCGGGCTCACCCCTACTGCATGTTCACTGTTCACCAGAGAATACACACGGAAACGGATTTCATGCAAATTACTGAGCAAGTTGTTTCTGTCAACACAGACTGGTCTGTCCTGTGGTGTTTATCGGTCCACAGTTTAACTGACCAAATAATCCATGTGTCACCGTTGACACACTGCTGTCCTGGAACAACCAATATTTCTTTGAGACTGTGCTAAATCTAGACCTGTCCAGGAAAGCCAATTTGAGTTAATCACCACTTCAGTATAGAACTAGGATTAATCCCCATCTGGGATGCTGGCTCATGAAGTTGTGATCTTATTCATAGGTGAGAAGCACTACTTAACTATAATCCAGTGCTGTATATGTTGGAAAGAGAGATTCTGGGCTTTCACTAAATGGATAAGACATCTCTTTGCATATTATATATGCAGAATAGTGCTCCACACAGGCACTGTGCCAGCTAAAGGGATTTATCTAGTGTTAACGATATTAGAAATGTGAGTGTTATGTAACTGACAAGTCCTCCAAATGTTTGGATTACTTACACCAAGCAACGTTCTGAGATGTTAACAGTGTCTTGTCTAAGCGAATGCACTGTGTGTATGTGCTTTTATAGTCCGTTCCTGTTTAACTGCCAAACAGGGAAATATTGTTCTTTCATTCAGACTTCACTGTATGTGTTTTTATTATGCGACTCTCTTGTGGTGCGCTTTTACATCATTGTTAAAATGTGTACTCTGCCCCTAACTTTCAACCAGCAATAAAAACTGGGTTTAAAAAGGTACAGAAAACTAAAAACTGTGAATTTGTAGCTAAATATATGTTAAGTGTGTCTATGTTTAAATTTGATCATCTCTATTTTCTCAGACTCAGACAATGGGTTTTAAAACTAACATCTCCTTTTATCAAACAGGAAACACCAGTCTAACCTGGGCAACACCTTTAATGTCATTAATGAAGTCATTAGGCTAGTTAGTGCTGACAGGAAGTAACTTCTGTGACGCGTTAAACACTGTAGGACGATTACAGGTGAAACGTGGACATTTGGTGGATTTTTCACCATAAAACTTTATTCCGAGTGAAAGAATATTTGTGCGCAACACAAGTTTTGGCTGAACTGGAGACAAAACAAACAGCTGCTAAACAATTCAGTGTGGTCTGAAGGTCAGCAACAGATGAGTTTTTCATAATTAATAGAAGAGGCTGTTCTGTTATTCTTGGGGTTGTTGAATCGATTGGATGCATGTGAGGAATAAGACGCTCTATTCCTCAGCTGCACTGATACTCTGCCAGGCTTCAACAAAAACTTAATTTGGTTTCTCGCTGGGTCGAACTTGGTCAAGCTGCTTGTTAGTATTTCAGCTCTGGTCATTAGGGGCTGTGGGATTCTTGCTACTTCTTGTTTGCACTGTGTGCCATGTTTGTATATTGCCACCAACCTACGCTATGTGGCTCTGTTGTTGATGCGGTCCCCTGGTTTTATTTGCATCCAAGGGCTCCTGCATGAAGGTGTGTGCGCACAGTCCGCTACAAATGATGTTAACAAACTCGTGCAAGCCGAGCTCTCGTATGTGTGCGAGTCGCCGTTGATCTGCTGTAGATCAATCTAAAGCAAGCTCATGTGAAGGTTTGCTGTGGAACAATAAAACAGGAAAGAACCAACATGGCGTCTTTTTTGTTTGTTGTGACAGCATGTCACAGCATGAGTCACCATTTCAATGGTCTACCAAATTCATCAATATCCAGCCTTGATACTGTTGTTATAGCATACTAGACACAATTACCTCTAATGGTTGTTCCTCCATATTCATTTACAAATGAAATAAAAGTACAACAGACTGAGGCATAATGCCATCATCTCTCCTGTTTCCAGAGGGAGATCTACTTACAGTCGACTGGGAAAAGACGTGAAATACCAAGAGGACCTCTATTACATAATCTCACAGGTGGTATTATCGACTGATACTTATCGGCCCCAATATACATTATGCAGCCCTAAAAGACATGAATCTAACAGGGCTAGAGAAATATACTAGAAGATAAAGAGTAAATGACTGGAACGGAAAATGCACACTGCAGTGTGATTGGTTTGTTGACTAGGTTTTGGTACCTGCTAGTTGTTCCCTGCACTTATGTCTGAATAAAAAACTGAAATTACCATAAAAACCATGACACAATTAGTCATTGGTTAAGTTAGTTTGTGTGACCAATAAACTGCTGAAAATAGATTAATGGCCATTTTATAGATTGCAATAAGTCATTACTGATAAGCCACACTTCCTTTTTACAAGTCTAGCCATTAAGTAATACAGTATAGGGCCTTCAGTGGAAACTGACCTGTTGTGCTGGGTGTTGGCTACAGCTGATAAACACGGCTATATCTGAAGATAATGCGAATACCATCGTCTGTTGTAGATAGTGAATGTTTGTTGCACACTTGTTAACAGCACTGTACTTCAATTTATAGGCAAGCTCTCAACCTATGGCGCAAAGACAAAGCACAAAGTCTTTATGTTTATTGCTGCAGTGTGCAACCAGGCAGTATTTTAAACTCCTATTAAACCCATTGAAAGCTGCAGCAGAAGTGCCAGAGGGCTGTTTTGAAGAGGGCTGATTTATTGTTTCCTGGATCCTGGAGCGATATTCATCATCAGCCTGCCTAGTATCTGTCATTGCTTTAAAATGATCCGCATGTTCGGTCACACCGGACCCTTGGCAAGATCTACAAGGGAAGAAAGTTCACCTGATAAAGGAGTTGTGGGCCTGACAAGAGCTCGCCAATCCTAATGCGTTAAAAGGGAACTCCCATCTCAGTGGATCCTGTAGGACGCCACACGGACTGAGAAATTTCCCTAACCAATTGATCCCGGAACATCCGCATCCACAATGTCGGGCAGCATTACAGTACACAGTACATAGAGTAATGGTAAGTTCAACCATTCAAGATAGCAGAGTGAATCATGATTATGGTTAATTAATTATACCCATACAGAGCAATGCCAAGCCCACCATATCCTGATGATCTATACTGCGTGGTATCTGCTGCTTGTTTGTTTATGGAGCCATATCCACTGTAAATAGATCAGTCTGTCAGTGTGGCAACGTGACTGTCCATGTTCCATGCGGAGGAAGAACACAACAGACGTCTGTGTTGTCGGATGTCTCATCGATCATCAGACAGTGAACTCTTCACCCCCAGTGGGGCTCTCTCACCTTGCTCTGACCGGTGCTTGCTCGCCTGGTGTTTCTGGTATGTGCGCAATCTCTGTACACCACACAGAGCTAGGACAGCAGTTTTGCTTAAAAAGGTGCTGAAATTTCTTTCTATTCAACATTTATATTTTTGTACTTAACAGCAAGGTGCAAAACTGCACTGGTGCGATCTATGACGATTACTGCGCAAGTATGTACGTAGTAATACCGACACTGTTCTTCAACCCGCTACAGCGTATGGAGAATTTAAACAGGCTGCTGTATAATGACACTGCAGTAACCTGCAGCAGCTTAGCAACACGGTCAAGTGGTTCTATTGTTTTTAACAACACTCAGGTGAAGTAGATGCCTGTGCTGATTACTCAAGGACTGTGTAAACTTCTACAGCAACACTTGACTGTGTACATCTCAACAGGCACCATGGGAACTCTACACAGCCTACATTTTTTAATCAGCCAATAAAATCTACTCATAATTCTGGATTCTCACATTTCCACATACGCTGGTGTTTTTATACACAGTTGCTGTGTTAACACGCTAAAAGGAGAGAGGCCAGTTGAAGATATTTGCAATCCTTATTAGATGTTCTGATCTAAAAAGGGATTAAAGAGGTACCACACCCCTACACAGTAAATCCACCAACTCTAATGACCCGGTGGGCGGAGTCAAATCATAAGACGAGTCAAGGTCAGCACATTTAAAGCTGCAGTGGGTCACTTTTATACAAATATTTTGTCAAATTTGCTGAAACCTTCAGTGCATCTGGAGAGTAGTACAACAAATGATCTGTCTAATGCTCCTAAAGGCATCTGCACGAGCCAAGAAAGTTGTTGAGTCTCATTCCCAGGGAGTCAAATAACAATGCTGGGAGTGAGACTCAATCAACTATCTTCAAGCAGCTAGCCCCAAGCGGCTGTTCATCTCTCTCAGCTCTGATTGGCTGTTTTCATTCAGGCCCGGTGGATTCTCGCAAATGGAGCACAAGGAGGAGCCAGAGGAAGCTGTATTTTTCACAGATTATCTGTTTTGTGTAGTTCTGTCAGGATATAGTGAAGGTTTCTGAAAATATGACAAAATGTTATCTTTATAAAAACGTAATGTTTAAATACAGCCCAACAAAGAAGGAGAAATATGGGCTGATATTTGTGTCAGTAGAAACTGAATTTGAATCATTTAGAACTGAATCTGAATTGCCCAACTTGAATAATTGCATTACAAAACTGAATCTGAATAGCATAATTTGAATTTAGTTTCAAATTCAGTTTCTACTGACACAAATATCAGCCCATAGAGAAATCCCCACTACTAAGCTCTCAAACGTTCAACAAATATTAAAATCTCCTTCCAGCTCTCCTGTTGAGAAACAGCGGACCATCGATCGCACAATCATCACCTTCAATAAAGTAAGAATGCATAACACACTTCCTGCTCATATCACACTGTCAAGCCCCCCGGCCCTATTTCACCGCAACAAATCAACTCCTAGAGGCAATCCCTGCAGAACCGTCCCGTTGATGGAAAAACACTCCTTCCTGTTCTCCTGTTTCAGCAGCAGAATAGAGACATTACAACAAAACTGCCAACATCCACCTCCTCTCACTGCACCTCTTCCTTTTTTCGATTTCCTCTTCTGATCACACTCCAGTGTCCCCGGCCATGAGGAGTACCTGCTGTATAACCTTTACCTTCATCATACAGCAAGGACATTTCGCCGCCATCAGTCAATTCTTCATCACAGCCGGTCATTAATCAGCGTCCACTAGCTATCACACACTACCCACCATGCAATCTGATATAATGACTACACATCAGTATTACTCGTTCACCACAGTTCATGTGTATGGCTAAGACATTAAAACGCAGCAGGCAGTGACCTGTCGCCATGACCCACGGTGTGCAATTATGTAGCACGGAGGTCAGCCAACCAGGAGGCGTATAATAATAACAACATGCAGGTAGTGTACAGTCTGTTCTGACAGCAGAGAGCCGTGGCTTCACGAAATGCAACACAGCATATACATCACCTGCTTTGAATACCACGTTACATCAATCACACTCTCCACTAGCGGCCTGAGCAGTTACAAACGGGCAGCCTCTTCCCGTCACAAACAGTCAGGAGGAGAGACGACGCCCAGCTCCTGTTGCATACCTCCAGGGCTGAACTGGAGACAACAGGTCTTATTTTATGGCAGCACCTCGTCTCCAACACAGATCAGTGTCAGGTCTCCAAAACAAGAACTCAAACTCTGATTTGTTAACTGTGCTTTCTCTTTTTTTTTTGTTTTTTTGATTGTGAAGCATCTTGTCCTTCTTCTTTTTAAATCACAGTAGTGCCATGATGTAAACACTGTACAAAGTGTGCACACACAACCAATGTGTTTGCCGCTTTTTTGTGCTTTTTTTTTTCCTGCAGAGCTTAAATGAAAAAAAAAAAAAAAAAGCATGTTGCATCTCCAGGAAGTAAAAAGTACCTGGGCTCTGTTTCACCATGCTGAAGATGAAGAGGCCAATGGGATCAAAATAGTGCAAAGTAAACAAAGTTAACACATTACAATACAAATCCTAAACAGACAGTACACTATATAATATATATATATATATATAAATAAAGTACAAAACAACTATGTCTTCCACCACATTTGATGTGTGCTGCTTTCACGTCAGCAACCCACCCTGGGAGTGCACACAGATACACGTAGTGTTAACAGACTCCGCAGGCCCGCAGTGTTATCCTTACCTGAACCATGGTCATAACATGGCAGGGATTCAGGAGGTAGATCACAGTCTTGGTCGCGAATTTGAACCCAACCTCCACCCCAAAAGTCATGCAAAGGGCAACCAGCAACAGGTTCTTGCCCAGACTATCCGCCTTTGTCCTTGAGCAGTCTTTTCCAACCACTTTGAGGTCTCTGGAGAGGTTGATTTTCTTCAGCGCCACGCCAATCTCCACCAGGGAGATGAGGACGATGACCAGACTTTCCCCGATGCGCTGCTGGGGCGCGATGAAGGCGGCACACTCGGGCCCCCCGTTGCCCTCAAACTTAGGGTCCACCCCGCCGTAGATCCAGTCCAACAGGCTGTATATGTTATATCTGGACATATTCCTCTTCTCGTGTTGGAAAAGATACGAACAAGATGGAATAAAAGACGTCACACTGACTTCTTGGCGAAACATGAACTGCGAGCTTTCCCTTTCGTCGTCGGTCTCGCGGTTGAGAGGTAGACATGTATCCACCGCCTTGGTGTGTTTGGAGCTAACTTCAGCTAAACGTCCAAACTACCTCCTCCACAGAAGGAGGAGGAACTTCAGCCAGCGGCGGGAGGCGGCGGCTGCAGTCAGGACCAAGTTACCCGTAGCAGCAGCTGGTGGTGGTGGTGGTGGTGTTGGGTGGTGGCAAGCCTCTCTCCTCTTTCACGCCCCTCTCACCATTACAAACCGAGATAGCTAGCGTGGACAGTCAAACCGGCAACGGCAGCCGGTGAAGCTAGCAGACGTGCCGGCGGGCTGTCGTCGTACCGAGATAACGTTAACGTTAGAAAGTAACGTTACCTTGCTGCACGTTGTGTTGACGTGTGTTAGCAACGGGACGGACACCGGATAGGTAGCTAACGTTAGCTTAGCTACCAAACCTTGGTGAACTGAAGCGGTGCTGCGGATGTGATTTTATCCCGGGTTTAGCCTCTCAGGGTGGGAGGAAAAGGTGCTGCATTCAGGGACCCTTGTTAAGTGGGGAAGTTATCGTTCGTGTCAAACGTTGGATTAAATAAGTACACAAACTAAGTAGAGGAGGCCAGCTTCTGCTGATTTCGCTGCTAATACAGGCTGTTACAATCATGTGCACACAATGAAATCGAGATGTTACCTGTACAACAACTCATTAGTGAGTATAATAGCACTACTGGTATTAACAGATGGTATATAAATGCAACTTAACGTTAGTAGATTTTTATTTTACTTCTGTGATCACTCCCTAACCCACAGACTGTGCAGGCTCGTTGTAGTCTGCCTGAGAGGCAAAGCGGAGGACATAAATAACGTTTGTTACCAAGCAGGACACCCAATACACGCGATGCTTGGGGATGGTGCGTTCAAGGCAAATACGGAAATTATTGTTGCATCTGAGAAATGTGAACGCAGTGTATGCAGCCATGGTAATGTTTCTATTATAAACCTGCATTGCTTCATCACCATAGGGGCTCCTCAGCCAAATGAGTATTACTTTCATTTCACCACATGCTGGAGTACTGAGAAACTGTATAATAACAATAATTTCGTTAATAAGTTCCCTTCTCCACAGGGAAACATCTACGGTAGCGACAGTTATTCAGTCCATGTTAAGCATGAAAAAGATGCTCCGTCGGGGTTCTTGGGACCTATTTTACAGCAAGAGGAGTTCTGTAGAATCATTTTCATCCTGTATTAGCTACCCTCCATTTATAAAGTTTATATATGTGAGCCAGTTACACTTATTTCAGAGCAATATTTTTCACCTGACTTTGCCACTACACAGTAAGAGCACAGTAAAACCTCCACGCAGCTGCACACAGGACACATAGGCTACTGTACAGTAACAGTAAACTCTCCTAGCATTAGTGTGTCAACTAAAATCGAATAAATAAAGAATCAGTCCATCTCCGAGAATGACCCCTCATCTCTACCTAACAACACTACAGCCTTTGTTATCTGAACAGTCAAAGTTTCAGGGATGCATGGAGTTCAGACTTTGATAGGGACCTCAAAGCTCTTCCCTTTAGTTATAGTCAGTACATGGTAATAGTATGAATAGTAAGTATAGCCAAGTAGGTACTGTAGCTAAATTAGGGAATAAAGTTACTCTTTAAACACAGCTTTATTAATTCACCAGCCGGCCAGCTTATCTTGAAAACTAATGACTGGATCGGCATGGCATTTTCTGTGCACATTTATTCTCCCAAGAGCAAGAACCCTTTTAATGTTGGCAACCCTCTGGCCTTTCTTCGAGCACCGCCATCGGGCCAAATTCAAATCCATTGTTGCAAATTAAAAAAACCAAATTGATTTTGGTGAGCCCATGAACCCTTTTTTCACAGTGCTGCCATTGTAATAAAAAATGTTAAAGTGAAAGTAATGGATAACTAGTGAGATTATATGTGGCAACAAAATTTGAGTTAATGATTAGGCATTATGATTCTGGCAAGGTGTCACTACAAAAGAAGAATGCTCCTTACTGAGGAATATGTAATAAAAGAACTGCTAACTGTGGGACACTTTCATTACTGTCACACTTCATCAACAAGACCCGGGACCCCCACTGACACTGACTCTTACACATCCCTTATTATATCTTGCACACTGCAATATCATTATGTGTCACACTGCTAACTTGCACATTCCCTGAACAATACTTTGTGCATATTGTCTCTCTTGTTATATTTGTATATATTGTCTCTTATTATTGTCTCTATTTTATCTTTATTTACAGTTTTATGTTCATGTTTATTTTTATGCACCAATTTACCAGGTGACTAATCCCATTTATGTGAAAACCTACTCGGCAATAAACTTGATTCTGATTCTGATCACTGTTGGAAGAAAGCGGTTCACACCTTCTCTAGTCTTTTCAACTGTCCTTACAAATACACAGGACCAAAAAGTAACTGTAGGCGATGACATTTATCTTGCTAACTGTGGACAAACATGATCAAGGGCCACAGGAATTGGTCGGTTGAATGATTTTTTGATATCACTTCATATGTGAGGAAAAGTCTGATTGAAGTTGAATGAAAAAATACATACTTGCCAATATCAAAGTCCACAGAGAACTCATTTGTAAGCCATGCTCATTTGGCATTGTGTTTCCATCGTAGTCGGGGGTGGTGATGTACGCGCTCCCTGCACTAATTGGGATCCACTTCAACTTGGCAAATATTTTACACAAATGCACGAGGGGAGATGAAGCGGACTGAACGAGGGAGCAGGGAATGTACCCTGACGTGGGCTCATGAGTGAAGAGAAAAGAGGAGAAGTGAAAAAGCTTTCGGAGGCATCTAATGTTTCTCCCACAGTGCCTGCTTTGGTTGGCCAATGCTCGCTTTTTGAAATAATCACACCCTGACATGACTCCATTAGTGTAGGGGTGTGTGTGTGGCACTCAGTGTGGTGCAGGGCCTGTTTGAAAGCAGGTTCAGCTTTCTGAGTGCAAATGACTCTGTGCTGAAATGTTGTAATTATGGCCAAAGCATATGCACAGTGAGGGAATACATAGCAATCTGGTTTGGTTGTGCTCGTGGAATATTGGAGAAACTGAGCTCGGGTGTGTAATCAGTGTCTAGTCTATCTGTTTAAATTATGGCATAAATACGTTTTTACATCAAAAGATAATTTCTTCATGACAGGAGTTACAAATGATTTTATTGAAATATAAATAACATGCATGGGCAGCAATGCACAGTACCATGAAATTATCCAGTAGACCTCAACACAAACATATTCTCGATCCCTTCATATATAGTATGAACAGGATTTAGTCTCTGACTAATGATTGGAATCTTAATGTTTTAATTTCATGTGACTCATATTACCAATAGTTTCTATCTAAGACACATATTTGAAAAAAAAAAAAGCCAAATTAAAGCTGTAAGACATTAACATAGTTATGCTGGAAGACTACAAACAGAGGGCCCGCTGTTTATTTGATAAGAAAACTGTTTCATCAGCAGCCTCTTTGCCATCACTTGCTGCCCAGGAAAATAAAATGGACCCCATTTTCAACATTCTTAAAAGGGTAATACAGTATGTTCTTCTGGCCCCATGAGGGAAAATACTCTGACTCAGTTTACAAGCCAATGCAGGGCTATAAAGTCCAGGCTTCACTTCAGGATGCGGAGAGGAGCAGAGAGAAGGCTAAAGATCAACTGGCCTCACAGCTCTTGATCCTGAGGGATAAAGAGCAAGTCGGTCTCCTGGCTCGAGACGCTGAACTCCTCAAGTAAAAAACTGTCAGATAGCAGCAACGTAGTGGAATCGAGACCCTTCAGGACTGGTGGAAAAAAAGCCAATTAGCTGAAGAGGAGAAAGAACAGCTGGACAGGGAGAAAAACAGAAGCACAGTTTCAGATACAAAGGAAGAAAACCCCCATCAAGCTTCTTAATGCACAATACATTTATTTATATTGGGTTTTATTGTTAGGAAACAGAGAAAGCAGAAAATCACTGCCTGTGTTTCTGACAGTTCTTCCCACCTAAAAGCTGTTTCAATATGAGCCTCAGTTTTCTGTTGTATAAGAATACATAGTTTTTTATATTTATTCTCTAAAGAACAAGTGTAACTGTACCCATATGCCAGAAACACTTTGTGATTGTACTACAGTATGCAAATTTTATATTTGTCATCCTTATGTTAATTTTTACTTTATTTTTGTACTTTTTTTTACAATACCGACTACAGGATCTTCAAAACATTGCCCTAGTCTTCGTTGCTATGTCGATTTCAGGCTCTGTATGTGTAATTTCTCCCCATGTTCCTTTAGTGTTGTATTAATATTTAAGTTGGGTTATTGACTGTCGAGAGCTTTATTAATCTCCATAATAAAGACAAATTGTCCTCGATGAAAGTGTCAGTTTTTGAGCTCACACGCAGCTGCATGTCAGTTTTTAAGCTCTGAGTCAACCCAAAAGCATTAGGATTCAAAGCTGGGTTGATTCTGCAGCTCTCCGTACTGCAAGAAATTATGAGCCAAGTGTTGTCAAAACTGAATCAACCCCCTGTTGAAATATAAAATGGATTATGTTTGACACACACACACATAGAGAGATGCACAAAAATCCTGTATTTGTAAGTGCTGTCTGTAATGTCTGCGCTTTGCTGTTCTGAACACTGTAAGCTTATGGCTGGACTTGGAATGAAACCTAACACCAAACATACAATACCACTATCTTTGCAAAATGAATTTTCATTTAGAATTTGAATCATGCTGAAATCCAGTTCTCCCTCAAAAGGACAAGCCTTTTCTGAGTTAGTGCTGTTAGTGTCACCAGGGGGCGATATTACCATTTTTCCTTCCTGTGTGGATTTCTGCATTCATGCCACATGAGGCTTTTTGGAGGATATTTGAAAAAGCTCCACTTCATTGCAAATCACAACAATTGGCTCTGGCTCTTTTAGCTGTTTAATGTGCACTGATATTAAGGATTGC